TTAAGAGAGAGAGAGAGAGAGAGAGAGAGAGAGAGAGCGAGACAAAAAATGTTTTTAATCTACGTGTGTGTGTGTGTGTGTGTGTGTGTGTAAGAGAGAAAGATAGAGATTTCATAAAAAAAAAAAAAAAATAAATCCGATACCTATCATAGATAAAATAATACAAAAGGCATACCTACACGTGATTCTTTTTGTTGCACCAATGACGGAAATGAATCGATCATTGGGGAAGTGGGGAGTGGGGAATGGGTGGGGAGTTATTTCGAGAATGTTTAAATGAAATCGCGAAGCGTGAAATTTGCCAATGCAACCAACGTTATCTATTCGTTTCAAGAATTGTATGTTGCATATAATATGCGTCACTGATATATAAAAAAAAATATATTATATAGTTATTATTTTATATTTTTTTAAAATTCTTCTTCTTCTTCTTCTTCTTTATATATATAAATTATATAATTGAAATGAATAAATCGAAAAATAATGAATTTTTTAATTAAATAAGTAATTTGTCAAATTAGAAATAGGTTTATAGTTTGTTTTTCTTGTTCATTAATGCGTTTTGTTTTTTTTTGTTGTTGTTACACACATTAATTATCCAATTTTTATTTCTATCTTTTAGATAATAGTCTAATGTCTTAAATACGTTATGGTTTTTAAACTCGTATTCTAGCATGAAGGAAATAAGTATTTAGCATTCTATAATCGTAAACTCTTATTACCGGTAACAACCAGTGCCTATCAACCTTAAACATTGTTCATACGAACGATACGTTTCCTTTTCTAACCTTCGATCAATGTTGTCTTGTAATATTACTTATTACTAATCATTTGTTTCACGTTTTAAATTAGGGAATTTTTTTTTTATGGAAATTTTTACCATTGGGTAAAAATGAGCCTAAACACACACATACACACACACACAAAGAAAAATATTTCGTAATCTTAATTTACGACTTTTCGTTGAACGAATCGTACAATTCTTTTTATTTTTGTAGAATTTCGAAGAATTCCGCCCCCCCACCCAAAAAAAAAACAAAAAAGAAAGTAATCGAAAATTGGTGAAATCAAATTTACGAGTCACGCGTGTTTAATCGAGCCATCGTTATGTTCTTTTTTTAAACATTTAAATTAAAATTTGAAACATCTATATAAACGATTACACGTATATATGTATTATAGTATTCGTTATATCGAATGTTCGAACATGTTCGATGAAATTTTTCGTAACATTAACGTATTATACATATTTTCACGCGTTATTTTATTATTCAAAACGTTTTATCATATTTTGTGACGACCTTGAATGCTATACTATACGTATAACGATAAAATTATTGTCATTTAAATATTACAATAAAAAAGAAATAAAATAAAAAATAAACACGAAATATGCAATCTCTTCTTTCGGAAGGATATACGAAATATAAATGAGATTAACATTTATTACGAGATTTCTTTTTCAACGATTCAAAGTATCGAGTTAAATCGAAAAAAAAAGAAAAAAGAAAAAAAAATAAGAAAAAAGGAGACGACAAAAAAAAAAAGAAAAGAACGATCGTTCCTAAAGTTGTCAAGAAAACGGTTGAAGGAAGAGAGTACTTAACACTCAACTCGTCGTTTTCTTACGTTACAAGCAAGGTCCACCGGCATGCGCGTGCGCGCGCGCGCGCACAAGTTATGCAATTACATTTGTAATGGGGGCCAACGTTGATCGTCGACCAACGACGGTGCCAGTAATTCGTGGTAATTACTATATTCGCGTCTCGTAATCCACCATGATCCTTCGGTTATGCGCGTGACATGATCAAAAGATTTTTACTTTTTTCTTTTTTTCTTTTTTTTTTTTTTTTTTTTTTT